CCTGAAGGATCTGGAGAAGGTCTGTATGGAGGAGTGGGCCAAAATCCCTGCTGCAGTGTGTGCAAACCTGGTCAAGACCTACAGGAAACGTATGATCTCTGTAATTGCAAACAAAGGTTTCTGTACCAAATATTAAGTTCTGCTTTTCTGATGTATCAAATACTAATGTCATGCAATAAAATGCAAATTAATTACTTAAAAATCATACAATGTGATTTTCTGGATTTTTGTTTTAGATTCCGTCTCTCACAGTTGAAGTGTACCTATGATAAAAATTACAGACCTCTACATGCTTTGTAAGTAGGAAAACCTGCAAAATCGGAAGTGTATCAAATACTTGTTCTCCCCACTGTATATACAGTATCTCACAAAAGTGAGTACACCCCTCACAATTTTGTAAATATTTGAGTATATCTTTTCATGTGACAACACTGAAGAAATGACACTTTGCTTCAATGTAAAGTAGTGAGTGTACAGCTTGTATAACAGTGTAAATTTGCTGTTGCCTCAAAATAACTCAACACACAGCCATTAATGTCTAAACCGCTGGCAACAAAAGTGAGTACACCCCTAAGTGAAAATGTCCAAATTGGGCCCAATTAGCCATTTTCCCTCCCCGGTGTCATGTGACTCGTTAGTGTTACAAGTTCTCAGGTGTGAATGGGGAGCAGGTGTGTTAAATTTGGTGTCATCGCTCTCACACTCCCTCATACAACATTCGGAGAGTACGACCCTGACTTACACAGGAAGCGGCACAGGTCCTAATCCAGGCACTTGTCATCTCCCGTCTGGATTACTGCAACTCGCTGTTGGCTGGCCTCCCTGCCTGTGCCATTAAACCCCTACAACTCATCCAGAACGCCGCAGCCCGTCTGGTGTTCAACCTTCCCAAGTTCTCTCACGTCACCCCCCTCCTCCGCACACTCCACTGGCTTCCAGTTGAAGCTCGCATCCGTTACAAGACCATGGTGCTTGCCTATGGAGCAGTGAGGGGAACGGCACCTCTGTACCTTCGGGCTCTGATCAGTCCCTACACCCAAACGAGGGCATTGCGTTCATCCACCTCTGGCCTGCTGGCTCCCCTTCCTCTGCGGAAGCATAGTTCCCGCTCAGCCCAGTCAAAACTGTTCGCTGCTCTGGCACCCCAATGGTGGAACAAGCTCCCTCACGACGCCAGGACAGCGGAGTCACTCACCACCTTCCGGAGACATTTGAAACCCCACCTCTTTAAGGAATACCTGGGATAGGATAAAGTAATCCTTCTACCCCCCCCCCCCCCCCCCCCCCCCCCCCCCCCCAAAAAAAATTGTAAAGTGGTTATCCCACTGGCTATAGGGTGAATGCACCAATTTGTGAGTCGCTCTGGATAAGAGCGTCTGCTAAATGACGTAAATGTGCCCTTGAGCAAGGCACTTAACCCTAATTGCTCCTGTAAGTCGCTCTGGATAAGAGCGTCTGCTAAATGACTAAAATGTAAATGTAAATGTACTGGTCACTGGAAGTTCAAAATGGCACCTCATGGCAAAGAACTCTCTGAGGATCTGAAAAAAAGAATTGTTGCTCTACATAAAGATGGCCTGGGCTATAAGAAGATTGCCAAGACCCTGAAACTGAGCTGCAGCACGGTGGCCAAGACCATACAGCGGTTTAACAGGACAGGTTCCACTCAGAACAGGCCTCGCCATGGTCGACCAAAGAAGTTGAGTGCACGTGCTCAGCGTCATATCCAGAGGTTGTCTTTGGGAAATAGACGTATGAGTGCTGCCAGCATTGCTGCAGAGGTTGAAGGGGTGGGGGGGTCAGCCTGTCAGTGCTCAGACCATACACTGCATCAAATTGGTCTGCATGGCTGTCGTCCCAGAAGGAAGCCTCTTCTAAAGATGATGCACAAGAAAGCCCGCAAACAGTTTGCTGAAGACAAGCAGACTAAGGACATGGATTACATGTCCTGTGGTCTGATGAGACCAAGATAAACTTATTTGGTTCAGATGGTGTCAAGCGTGTGTGGTTGCAACCAGGTGAGGAGTACAAAGACAAGTGTGTCTTGCCTACAGTCAAGCATGGTGGTGGGAGTGTCATGGTCTGGGGCTGCATGAGTGCTGCCGGCACTGGGGAGCTACAGTTCATTGAGGGAACCATGAATGCCAACATGTACTGTGACATACTGAAGCAGAGCATGATCCCCTCCCTTCGGAGACTGGGCCGCAGGGCAGTATTCCAACATGATAACGACCCCAAACACACCTCCAAGACGATCACTGCCTTGCTAAAGAAGCTGAGAGTAAAGGTGATGGACTGGCCAAGCATGTCTCCAGACCTAAACCCTATTGAGCATATGTGGGGCATCCTCAAATGGAAGGTGGAGGAGTGCAAGGTCTCTAACATCCACCAGCTCTGTGATGTCATCATGGAGGAGTGGAAGAGGACTCCAGTGGCAACCTGTGAAGCTCTGGTGAACTCCATGCCCAAGAGGGTTAAGGCAGTGCTGGAAAATGATGGTGGCCACACAAAATATTGACACTTTGGGCCCAATTTGGACATTTTCACTTAGGGGTGTACTCACTTTTGTTGCCAGCGGTTTAGACATTAATGGCTGTGTGTTGTGTTATTTTGAGGGGACAGTAAATTTACACTGTTATACAAGCTGTACACTCACTACTTTACATTGTAGCACAGTGTCATTTATTCAGTGTTATCACATGAAAATATATACTCAAATATTTACAAAAATGTGAGGGGTGTACTCACTTTTGTGAGATAATAAATATATATATATATATATAGTACCAGTCAAAAGTTTGGACACACCTACTCATTCAAGGGTTTTTCTTTATTTTTACTATTTTCTACATTGTAGAATAATAGTGAAGGCATCAAAACTATGAAATAACACATATAGAATCATGTAGTAACCAAAAAAGTGTTAAACAAATCAAAATATATTTTAGATTTGAGATTCTTCAAAGTAGCCACCCTTTGCCTTGATGACAGCTTTGCACACTCTTGGCATTCTCTCAACCAGCTTCAGGATGAATGCTTTTCCAACAGTCTTGAAGGAGTTCCCACATATGCTGAGCACTTGTTGGCTGCTTTTCCTTCCCTCTGCGGTCCAACTCATCCCAAACCATCTCAATTGGGTTGAGGTCGGGTGATTGTGGATGCCAGGTCATCTGATGCAGCACTACATCACTCTCCTTGGTCACATAGCCCTTACACAGCCTGGAGGTGTGTTTTGGGTCATTGTCCTGTTGGAAAACAAATGATAGTCCCACTAAGTGCAAACCAGATGGGATGGCGTATCGCTGCAGAATGCTGTGGTAGCCATGATGGTTAAGTGTGCCTTAAATTCTAAATAAATCACAGACAGTGTCACCAGAAAAGCACCCCACACCATCACACCACCTCCTCCATGCTTCACAGTGGGAACCACACATGCGGAGATCATCCATTCACCTAGTCTGCTTCTCACAAAGACACGGCGGTTGGAACCAAAAATCTCAAATTCAGATTAATCAGACCAAAGGACAGATTTCCACCGGTCTAATGTCCATTGCTCGTGTTTCTTGACCGAAGCAAGTCTCTTCTTATTGGTGTCCTTTAGTAGTGGTGTCTTTGCAGCAATTCGACCATGAAGGCCTGATTCACGCAGTCTCCTCTGAACAGTTGATGTTGAGATGTGTCTGTTACTTGAACTCTGTGAAGCATTTATTTGGGTTGCAATCTGAGGTGCAGTTAACTCTAATGAACTTATCCTCTGCAGAAGAGGTAACTCTGGGTCTTCCTTTCCTGTGGCAATCCTCATGAGAGCCAGTTTCATCATAGCGCTTGATGGTTTTTGCGACTGCACTTGAAGAAACGTTCATAGTTCTTGAAATGTTCTCGATTGACTGACCTTCATGTCTTAAAGTAATGATGGACTGTCGTTTCTCTTTGCTTATTTGAGCTGTTCTTGCCATAGTATGGACTTGGTATTTTTCCAAGTAGGGCTATCTTCTGTATACCACCCCTACCTTGTCACAACACAACTGATTGGCTCAAACGCAATAAGAAGGAAAATATTCCACAAATTCACTTTTAACAAGGCACACCTGTTAATTGAAATGCATTCCAGGGGACCAACTCATGAAGCTGGTTGAGAGAATGCCAAGAGTGTGCAAAGCTGTCATCAAGGCAAAGGGTGGCTACTTTGAAGAATCTCAAATCTAAAATATATTTTGATTTGTTTAACACTTTCTTGGTTACAACATGATTCCATATGTGTTATTTCATAGTTTTGATGTCTTCACTATTATTGTACAATGTAGAAAATAGTAAAAAATAAAGAAAAACCCTTGAATGAGTAGGTGTGTCCAAACTTTTTTACTGGCATTGTGTATGTATGTATGTATGTATGTATGTATGTATGTATGTATGTATGTATGTATATATTGTGTGTGTGTATATGTATGTATAACAGTTTTCAGCTGTGCTAACATAATTGCAAAAGGGTTTTCTAATGATCAATTAACATTTTAAAATGATAAACTTGGATTAGCAAACACCGTGCCATTGGAACACAGGACTGGTTTCCAGCTACAATAGCCATTTACAACATTAACAATGTCTACACTGTATTTCTGATCAATTTGATGTTATTTTAATGGACAAAAAAATTGCTTTTCTTTCAAAAACAAGGACATTTCTAAGTGACCCCAAACTTTTGAACGGTAGTGTATATATATTTTGTATCAAAGTATAATGAATTTATATTATAGTCCAGTTTGTGGCGTTAATCCAACATAGTGGATGCCAACCGCTGTTAAACTCAGAAGAAGAAGAAGAAGAAGAAGAAGAAGAAGAAGAAGAAGAAGAAGAAGAAGAAGAAGAAGAAGAAGAAAAAGAAACCGGAAGTAAACGTCATATTTAAACGACGACCGTGAATGTTCGGTTATTTTGCTTCTTATGTAGCTAAATAGCTACATAGCTTGGGAAATGGCTGAATCGTTTGAAGAACGTCTCGTAAAAGCAGTCAAAGAGCATACGCACTTGTATGATACCTCAATACGTTTACATTTCGACAAAGAGGCTCTCGAACACAGTTGGCGCGAAATTGCTACATATTTAAACTCCGATCCAGATACCTGCAGGAAGAAATGGAGACTTGCGAGGGACCGTCATGTGAGAGCACTGAAAAAGTCTAAGGATATGCCAGAGGGTGTACCGAGGCCTGGAATTCTGAGTTGGCTCACCATTTTTATCAAACATCGGCAAACCAACCCAAACTTTCCCGAGGTAGCTAGTTAGCTAAGAAACTGAAAATGTATGGCTACAGTACCTAGTTGCTAGACCTGACTTGTAGACCGGTAATTATCGGTATTATGAAAGATTATCTAATAAATCGTCTAAAGAAACCACTATTTCTGGCACTGGGTTCGCAGTTAAAATGAGTGCAATATCAACACCAGCAGCAGAGGACACACATAAATCAGTACGAGATTGCAAGATTCATGTAAAATGTTGTTGTTGAAAACGTTAAACAATTAGTCATGTGTTTATGGCAATCGGGCCTTAATCAGAATATATGACAGTGACAATGATTAATTTAGTCATAAAATGAGAAAGTAATGTTTTAATGAATTTGCAACAGCCTTACTGTTAATCTTTTCAAGATTTGCAATTACTGCCTCTTGTTTTGTTGGTTTCCATAGATTTCAGCAGACAGAGTTGAGAGTCTTAATAGCAAACTGGATCAGACTCCCATGTTTTCAGACCAGGCAGGTAAGCCAATAATAGTGTTGTGTAGTTGGCTACAGGTATTGTGTAGTTGGCTACTGACACAATCCTTATGTTTCCATACTGGCTCCTTTTTTATTTTACTGTAGGTCCACGGTTCCCTTTATCTTCTTTCCGTCTCCTGGTTCCTCCTCTACGCCTGATGTCAGCTTTTATGTGGCAAGTGGCTCAAGAGCGTAATGTGATGCAGTATGGGAAGCTGGAGGAGTTTGTGACTTTGGTGACAGAGATGGTTCCAGAGCTGCTGAGCTCCAGGCAGAGGACCCAACTCATCCTGGGACTGAGAGCAAGGGTGAGAAGTGGGAGGGTGGAGAAGGAGTAGAGGCATGGATGTAAAGAAAGAATAATAGTCATTGGACTAAGATCCTCATAAAATCTGCTTTCAGATGGTTTTAGAGTTGTTTCGCAATGAAAACCCACCGGAACCCCAGACCATCCAACTTCATTTGGACAGAATCAGAACTTCTTCAGTACATGCTGTGCACGAGGATGTATGTAACTTTCAGTGTCAATAGTAGTCTGGATGCTGTGGAATAGAGGGAGCTTATATTGTGTTTCTGTTAAAGCTTATTTTATCATTCATTTTACATGCCCAGTCACAGAGTAGAAATGAGTTGGAGGCTTCGGAGTCTAACTTCGTGGAACTTGTCAAAACCCTGCTGGAAGACCCTTCTGAGAAGAAGCACTTCTTCCAGGTGGGAAATATCCTAATGAATCATAGTTGTTGCTTTCAGAGTCAATAGGACAGCATGTTCCAGCAATGTAAAACTCAGTAGTGAAATCTTGCTTGTTTTACAATAACTGATGAAAGACCATACAAAATGAACAACCCAGCAAGGTATTGGCTCGAACTACTCTTGTTTTATTTCTCTCTCTCTCAGGTGGTGTTCCCAATACGTTACGGCCCTCGGTATGACACAGCACTGCAGATACTGGTGTGGGAGTTCATCTCCCGACTGGAGGAGCTGCTGCCTGTACCAGACCTTACAGAGGTAGAGGCTCAATATCTTAATAGGATGAAATCTTTAGAGATGGTCAGGCTTGTCATGTTATTTCTTCAGTATCACACGCTTAGGGATGTCACTAACTATTTTTATAATGACACTGTATAATGTCCAGTCTTTGGGAACAAAGCTACTTGTTCATGATATCCTTTTGGTCAACTCAAGTTGAATCCTATATGATTAATGTAGACACACAGGAGAGGAGTGCTTCTTTGATTCAAGACCATGGTGCTTGCCTACGGAGCAGCAAGGGGAACTGCACCTCCTCACCTTCAGGCTATGCTCAAACCCTACATCCCAACCTGAGCACTCTGTTCTGCCACCTCTGGTCTCTTGGTCTCGCGCCCCTGCTTGAGGGCAGCTCCCGCTCAGCCCAGTCAAAGCTCTCCTCTGTCCTGGCACCCCAATGTACATTTATAGTTAATCCATGAGGTGCTCTTTGATCATTTGATGAAATATTATAGAACAAAAAGAAGTTGATGCTGGATAGTAAACAATGCCGTAAAAGCCTTTGTGCAAACAAACTTCCAGAAGTAATCAAGGCACTCGTGTAGTGGAAATATGTAAAAGCCTTTGTTTTACGACTTATGCATGGCAAGAATATAAAAAATAAAAAAAACACCCACCTAGCTAGAGCTGCAGAAACCATTTTAATGTTCCTTTTATCCTCTCAGACAGCATCTTGTCTCAGCATTGCCCCCTCTGACCTGGAGGAGTTCTGGCATTCTGTCTCTGACCCCGAGCACCTGAAGACACTACTGCAGCATCATAGACATCTGGGATACTTGAGCAAAAGTTAGTCTTAATAAGAGGATATCAACCATGTTAGCCATGTGCTCTTCTTCTGTAAATTAGTTAATTGCATTTTTCCGTTTCCTTTCCTGAGATGAAAATTCTCCCTTTCTCCAGATAAATTCTCCAACCAGGTCGCAGACAACATCTTGTCCACATTGTCAATTCCTCAAATTCACGGCCTGAAGTCAAGTCTCGATGGACATGAAGGCATGAAAGGGAGCACAGAGGGGTGGAAGATCAACAGTGAGGAAGACCAAGAGGAAGGAGGAGAGTTGCATTGTGAAAATAACTTGGAGGAGGATGATGATGATGATGGAAGTGAGAGAAATGAAGACCCTGAGAGAGGATTAAAGGATGAAGATGACGCAAACTGGACCTCCCCTCTGAGTGAACCAGAGGACTCGGATGGTAAGGAAGTTCAGAGATTCATAATGATACAGTCCGTTTCCGCCATGTATTTTGAAGTGATTTGTAAAAGCCTGACATGTTACATTCCCTACATATATTTGTAATGTTTTTTTAACGCTCCTTGACTTTCAGGTGAAAATCAGGAAGTGCTTCACACCACTGTCAAAGTTTACACTTAGGATCATGAATTACAGAGGTTGATATCAGTTCCTACTTATAACACCTTAAAACATAGTGGCTGTGTATATTGTTTTGGAGAAGGACATTTTCGTGCTTTTGAGAGCACCACACTGAAGGCTGTTTCCAACAATGGCCGTCACCTCTAGGGGAACCATTCATTTCAATGGGATGTTGGTTGGCGAGCGACGTTAACTGGAAAATGCTGAAAATTGCTAAATAATTAGCTAATGAACTTAAAAACTGTCTGGATGAATCATCAATATATCTGTCCCAAAATCACAATAAGTTGGCACTCGGGAGGTCCAGGATTCATTTGGGTCAGGCATCGTTTGCCCTTCGCATATGTTTTATAGAGCGAATCATGGTACCAAACGCTCCAGGATCCGGGTCATATAAGGATATGTTAACGCATCTTCATTTTTGTATGTCTGCTCTCTTGTGCTTTCTGCCTGCAGAACCGGCTAGTGACATGCCCTCCCAGGTCTTCTCCTGCCCCCAGTGCCCATTCTCCCACAGGGAAATGGTGGACCTTCACCAGCACATCAGGAAGGAACATCTAACAGAGGAGGACAGCAGGAGCCTGGACTCTGGAGGAGCTGAGAACTCACTGCCATCCAGTGAAACAGTAAAGAGCTCCTCAGCCAAGAGGATCAATAAGAACACCTGCAAACAGTGCGGGAAGGGTTTCAGATGCACAACTGACCTGAAACGACACCAAAGTATTCACACAAGTGTGCAGCCGTTCCGTTGCAACCAGTGTGAGAAGAGATTCAAATCGGAGAGATATCTACAACTGCACAAGAAGAGTCACGACATTGAACCGATGCACAGGCCTATTTGCCAACACTGTGGCAAGAGTTACACAAGTGCAGCAGTCCTCAAAATACACATACGCACACACACCGGGGAGCGGCCTTACTCCTGCTCAGTCTGTGGGAAGAAGTTCAATCAAAAGCACACATTAGTTAGACACCTCCGGATGCACAAAGGGGAACGACCATACCTGTGTAGCGTATGTGGGAAGGCTTTCTTTGTTTCCGGGGAACTCTTAGTGCACATGCGTTTTCACACAGGGGAACGACCTTACCGTTGTAAACCGTGTGGAAAGGCTTTCAGCACATCATGCGCTCTCACGTCACATAAGCGATGGCACTCAAACGAGCGCCCATTCACCTGCTCCCTGTGTTCAAAGGGCTTTGCAGAAACTAGTGGCCTTAAAAGACACATGTTTATTCATACTGAGGAGAAGCCCCATTACTGCCACACATGTGGGAAAGGATTTAGTCAGTTGAGCAACATGAGAATACATTTGAAAACTCATAAGAAATAATGTAATTGGATCTTTGTCAGACTAAAGTGTAATGTTTATTGCGCCTTGAGCTCATAAAGCCAAAAGTAAGAAAGAGGAGAAAAAAAAGTGTTATAGGTCATGTACATCATCCTGACAAAGTTTTCACAATTTATTGACTAAGTAGCCATGCTGTTATTTTCCTGTTGGTAATGTGATTGGTTGTTAAGGAACTTAGGCCACAGACTTTACAATGACATTGAGGTTTTACTTAGTGCACTACTCTGTGAGCACAGTAGGGGTACATTTACATTTTAGTCATTTAGCAGACGCTCTTATCCAGAGCGACTTACAGTTAGTGAGTGCATACATTTTTCATACTGGCCCCCCGTGGGAATCGAACCCACAACCCTGGCATTGCAAGCGCTATGCTCTACCAACTGAGCTACAGGAGGACTGTAGATCAGGACATGGGCATTAATATGGAGTTGGTCCCCCCTTTGCTGCTATAACAGCCTCCACTCTTCTGGGAAGGCTTTCCACCTGATGTTGGAACATTGCTTCGGGGACTTGCTTCCATTCAGCCAAAAGAGCATTAATGAGGTCAGGCACTGATGTTTGGCGATTAGGCCCAGCTCGCAGTCAGTGTTCCAATTAATCCCAAAGGTGTTCGATGGGGTTGAGGTCAGGGCTCTGTTCAGGCCAGTCAAGTTCTTCCACACCGATCTCGACAAACCATTTCTGTATGGACCTCACTTTGCGCACAGAGGCATTGTCATGCTGAAACAGGAAAGGGCCTTCCCCAAACTGTTGCCACAAAGTTGGAAGCACAGAATCGTGTAGAATGTCATTGTATGCTGTAGCGTTAAGATTCCCTTCACTGGACCTAAGGGCCCTAGACAGAACCATGAAAAACAGCCCCAGACCATTATTCCTCCTCCACCAAACTTTAGAGTTGGCAATATGCATTGCGGCAGGTAGCGTTCTCCTGGCATCAGCCAAACCCAGATTTGTCCGTCGGACTGCTAGATGGTGAAGCGTGATTCTTTACTTCAGAGACCGCGTTTCCACTGCTCCGGAGTCCAATGGCTGCGAGCTTTACACCACTCCAGCCGACGCTTGGATTTGCACATGGTGATCTTAGGCTGCTTGGCCATGGAAACCCATTTCATGAAGCTCCCGACAAACAGTTATTGTGCTGACGTTGCTTCCAGAGGCAGTTTGGAATTCAGTAGTAGGTAACATGATGAAAGTATGACACATAGTTTGTGTAGGCCGTTCTGTACCTGATGTAATGAGAAGAAAAGAAAAAACTTTTTGACAGCAACTATGAAGTTGTCGCTTGAATAATCATTCATGTGTTTTGGACCAAGCTCCTGATGTATGCCGGAACAGAGTCCTCCCTTTTCCTTATTATCCTGCATAGTCACCTGTTGAAGTGTCGTCGTCTAAGGAATGTTTTTATTTTCAATCCCTCGGTCAGGCACCCGATTCCCTACTGCCACATGCTGGGCTGAAGCACATTTGGGTACACTTTTCTTTCCCATTGTAATCAGACTTGGGTTCAAATACTATTTCAAATACCTCAATTACTTTCACCTACATTGTCCAAGTAAGTATCTAGATATGTTTTATTTGAAAAGACAAGTAGTTGAATATTTTTATATGTATTTGAAAATACTCATACACTCCCATGCATTTAACCCAGGTATTTGAAATAAGTGTTTGAAAATACACTCATACTATTTGGTTTTTACAAATAGCCATTCAAATAACCAAATAGAAGTACTTGTTTTGGGCTGTGTATTTGCAAATACTCAAATACACACATTTATTTTTAAGTACTCATACATTTGAAACCAGGTCTGATTTTAATAAATAGTCACTCAGTAATCATCTGCGGTGACTCAATCATTTGTAAATTAACTAATACTACAGCATGTGTATGATATATGTATATTAAGTACATGACGCTACATTTATTATCCATCAAACACAACTTTTTTTTTTTTTTTTTACTTAGATGAGCAACATGAATACATTTGAAAACTCGTTGGATGTTTGTCAGACTTAAGTAATTTTTACACTAGTGTAATGTGTTGAGGTCAAAAAGCCAAAAGTAAGAAAAATAAAGATTGTATTATAGGTAATGTACACTGAACAAAAATATAAACGCATGTTTCATGAACTGAAATAAAAGATCCCAGAAATGTTTCATATGAACAAAAGCTTATTTCTCTAAAATGTGCACAAATTTGTTTACATCCCTGTTAGTGAGCATTTAAATTTTGCCAAGATAATCCATACACCTGATAGTTATAGCATATCAAGAAGCTGATTAAACAGCATGATAATTACACAGGTGCACCTTGTGCTGGGGACATTTTGTCACAAAACACAATGCCACAGATGTCTCAAGTTTTGAGGGAGCGTGTATTTAGCATGCTGACTGCAGGAATGTTCACCAGAGATGTTGCCAGAGAAATAATGTTCATTTCTCTACCATAAGCCGCCTCCAATGTCGTTTTAGAGAATTTGGCAGTACATACAACCGCAGACCACGTGTATGGCGTCATGTGGGCGAGCGGTTTGCTGACGTTGTGAACAGAGTGGGGGTTATGGTGGAAGTGGGGTTATGCTATGGGCAGGCAGGCATAAGCTACGGACAACAAACACAATTGCATTGCAATTTGAATGCACAGAGATACCGTAAACGAGATCCTGAGGCCCATTGTGCCATTCATCTGCACCATCACCTCATGTTTCAGCATCATAATGTCGCAAGGATCTGTACACAATTCCTGGAAGCTGAAGCTGTCACAATTCTTCCATGGCCTGCATACTCACCAGACATGTCACCCATTGAGCATGTTTGGATGCTCTGGATCGACGTGTACAATGGCATGTTCCAGTTCCCGCCAATATCCAGCAACTTTGCACAGCCATTGAAGAGGAGTGGGACAACATTCCACAGGCCAAATCAAAAGCCTGATCAACTCTATGTGAAGGAGATGTCACGCTGCATGAGGCAAGTGATGGTCAAACCAGATACTGACTGGTTTTCTGATCCACGCACCTACAGTTGAAGTCGGAAGTTTACATACACCTTAGCCAAATACATTTAAACTCAGTTTTTCACAATTCCTGACAGTTAGGATCACCACTTTATGTGAAATGTCAGAATAATAGTAGAGATAATGATTTATTTCAGCTTTTATTTATTTAATCACATTCCCAGTGGGTCAGAAGTTTACATACACTCAATTAGTATTTGATAGCATTGCCTTTAAATTGTTTAACTTGGGTCAAACGTTTCAGGTAGCCTTCCACAAGCTTCCCACAATAAGTTGGGTGAATTCTGGCCCATTCCTCCTGACAGAGCTGGTGTAACTGAGTCAGGTTTGTAGGCCTCCTTGCTCGCACACACTTTTTCAGTAATGCCCACAACTTTTCTATAGGATTGAGGTCAGGGCTTTGTGATGGCCACTCCAATACCTTGACTTTGTTGTCCTTAAGCCATTTTGCCACAACTTTGGATGTATGCTTGGGGTCATTGTCCATTTGGAAACCCATTTGCGACCAAGCTTTAACTTCCTGATTGATGTCTTGAGATATAATCACATAATTTTCCTTCCTCATGATGCCATCTATTTTGTGAAGTGCACCAGTCCCTCCTGCAGCAAAGCACCCCCACAGCATGATGCTGCCACTCCCGTGCTTCACGGTTGGGATGGTGTTCTTCGGCTTGCAAGCACCCCCTTTTTCCTCCAAACATAACGATGGACATTCTGGCCAAACAGTTCTATTTTTGTTTCATCAGACCAGAGGACATTTCTCCAAAAAGTACGATCTTTGTCCCCATATATAGGACTCGTTTTACTGTGGCTATAGATAATTTTGTACCTGTTTCCTCCAGCATCTTCACAAGGTCCTTTGCTGTTGTTCTGGGATTGATTTGCACTTTTTGCACCAAAGTACGTTCATCTCTAGGAGACAGAACGCGTCTCCTTCCTGAGCGGTATGATGGCTGTGTGGTCCCATGTTGTTTATACTTGCGTACTATTGTTTGTACAGATGAACGTGGTACCTTCAGGCGTTTGGAAATTGCTCCCAAGGATGAACCAGACTTGTGGAGGTCTACAATAATTTTTCTGAGGTCTTGGCTGATTTATTTTGATTTTCCCATGATGTCAAGCAAAGAGGCACTGAGTTTGAAGGTAGGCCTTGAAATACATCCACAGGTACACCTCCAATTGACTCAAATTATGTCAATTAGCCTATCAGAAGCTTCTAAAGCCATAACATCATTTTCTGGAATTTTCCAAGCTGTTTAAAGGCACAGTCAACTTAGTGTATGTAAACTGTTGGTGAAACCATAAGGAGAGGAAGTACAAAACCAACGACGCTAGACAGAGAGGAATTTGCTTAAGCAAAAGGCAGTTTATTAAAACAGAGAGAGCTGGTATTGTGCAAGCTACATGCATGGACCCATTCAATTGCCTCTTATGGAGACAGTTGAGAAAGGATCAAAAACAGAGTTTTCAGCATTACTTTATACAATGCAACATAAAGAAAGGGGTCCTTCTTCTAGTCCCTTGATTGGTTCCCGAGGCGTAGGAGGCGGGTCTGCTCTGTCCAGAGCAGAAGCCCCATTGGTGCACGGCAGAGTCCTCTGCCCTTGGCACCCGACCAGTAGAAAGAAGTGCAGTTTGTGTGTGTGCGTCCACAGAGCAAAGAACTCGTGAGGCATGAGAATGAGTGTGCGTCCACATTGAGATGTGTGTGTGAATGTGTGTATGTCTCAAGGGAAAACTCGTGGGGAGCAACCAGTGATTGTGGCCTGTGGCGTGGGTGTTGTCCTTGACAAGATATGGTCCTCTGTCCATTGTTCTTGCATAGGAACAGCATTGATTGAAAACAAGCTCCTAACATAAAATGGGTCATGCACAAGATTTTAGTCAGACCAAGCTATAACATTTTATATTTACTACGACAAATCCCCCTCTTCACGTCTTCTAGACGTGACCCATTCATTATGTTGGCATGAAGCATAGTTGAATCAGTGTTAAAAGAAAAAACAATAATGTAGGAAAGAAAACAAAACATGATAACGCATAATGCAATGGTAAAAAAAATTAATTAAACAATCAACCATCCCCCTCTAGCATACCAATTATATGGCCAGTTAATTAAACAATGTTAGTCCCCCTCTAGTGCACGATGAAAGACATCAAAGCTGTTGTTCAAATTCTATTTCATCTTCATTTTGGTGTCAAATTTTGGTTTTGGCTGCTCAAATCAGCACTGACTTCTGTCAGTGATCTAGAAGGAGTGGGGGCTGGTGTGCAATGAGTTAGATGGTGCCAGGGTGCGCCTGATTTACCTCTGACCTGGACTGAGTGTGAAGTAACCTCCTTCACTTCGTACGGTCCAGTCCACCTGGGTTCCAGCCACTTTCTCTTGTGGACTTTTACCCTCACCCAGTCTCCCACTTTTACCTTCAGTGTCAGCGTACTTCCCGACAGCTCCCCCTCTTGGGCCTTCTGCACCTGAGAAGAGAGTGCTGCAGAAAATTCCGTCAATTTCTTCACATAATCAGTCATTTCTATCTGTTGTACATCAAGGGAGGGCATATGACCTCCCTCCCTTGGTGGACCTATGTTAATTTTGTTCCTGCACAAACCTTTGTTATTTTAGCTTTAAATGTTTGGTTGGGACTGTGGATGTTACTGAACCGAATCTGTGCATGATTCCGAATCTTACCTCCACCTTTTTCAGGTGTTTGTTGCTAAAAATGTGTGGTTGTCAGATCTTATCTGCCTTGGTACACCATATCTGGGTATTAACTTAGTTTGTAGCCACTTAATGACTGACCTATCATCCTCTAATTCTGTAGTTTTCTGTAGGAATTTCCTCTACCCATTTTGAAAACCTGTCTACAGTTTCTGTCATGTGAGGGTGCCACCAGATGTGTGGGACTGGGCAGAGTCTAGCTGGTTCAAGTAGTCTTCCATCATGGCACCTCCAGAGTTCGTCCTGTCCTCTGCCGCCCCCTCCTGGGCCCAGACTGATGGTGTTCATAGGGTCCTGCTGAGCTCTGTAACTGTGCTATATCGCCTTTGTTGAGTTCAATCTGTGATGTCGGTGGTAGTAGTATTGGATGAGGATCACGCCTTCGGGCACCTGGAGTTCAGACAGGTGGGTTTATGGTTGTTGTGGGGGTCCTCCCCTTTACTGTCACTGGTGGTGGGCACCTTCATGGCCAATACATGGGTTCCCCTGCCATGCCTTGAAACTCTGCTTGGTTATGTGGTTGGCCTTGTCCTTGTTGGTTGCCTGGTGATTGTTGTGGTTGTTGGTATGGTTGTGGTCTTCCACCCCTCTAAGGTCCTGTGAAGAATGTTGTCTGAAAAATTCTGGGTTCAGTTGTTGGTGACACCCACTATTCACTCCGCTCACAGGGTTGTTAAAAGAGAGCAGGGAGCGACCTCCAGGAGAGGTCGGGTCTCCCCCTTCTTCCCGTCTCAGGGTGTCTCGTTCTTTGGGTTGATATGGAGTGCTGGTAGAGGGCAGCTGTTCACACAGCAACTGCCCTCCAGTTATGTCAAAAGTCATGGTGCCTTTCAGGCTCCCTTCTCCTACTGTTAGAACAGGGGCCTGTATTGCAGGCTGAGGCATGGAGAGAAATGGATTGGTTTGGTGGTGTGTCTGAATTTTTTGATCCTGTCCTGGTGTGTATGGTGGGGGCCGCAGTGCCTCCTCTGTTAACAATGGGTATAGTGAAGTGGGAACAGGTGTGGTGCTGGTGTTGGCCTCTGGGGGAGCTGTAGGAGAACCCTTGAATGGGGTTTGCATCTCTACTGGAGCTGCAGTGGCCACACACATCGTCTTTGGCTGCACCCTCCTGCTCTCCTCTAATGCCCATGTCCCTATTCTCAGCTCTCCCTCAGCCCTCTCTCTTTCCTTAGTTCCCTTATTCTTAAACTTATGTGCCTTGTTCTTTCCTTCTTCCTCCCCCTTGGCTTTCTCAACTGCCACTTCTAGACCTTTTTCCATAATCTTGAGTTCTTCCTCCGAGGGAGGTCCCCCTCTGAGGTAACCTGCCTGTGTCCATCTTAACTTTACCTCCTCCCACACTTTTTTAAATATCTTGTACTGTGCTTTTCCCCCTGCCCTATCTGTCATTCGTTGTTCTAGATATGCATTAAAATTGGTTTTGGTTGGGTTTGGCCCTGCCATCTTGTTTCTCTATCTTTATACACTTATCCCGTCCCTGGTGTTTTATTTCCAAGGATGTATTATCGGTATCAAATACAGACTTATCTCATGTACGACACCCTCGTATATAAAGAGGCTGATTGTTTTTATATTATGTGTAATGCAATCATTATCATAAAAATCAGAATTCCAGTCACATATACCAATGCAGTAATTTCCACACACAGCACACACCACGCTTTAGTTATCTCACGCTTGTTCTAGAATCGTGCACAACTTCAATATCAGTCTCCCCAGTCCCCGGTTCCTGAAACCCTAGGTCAAATTCACTCTAATCCACAGATTGGTGTTCAGTCTCATAAGTCTCACTATAACTTCCCATCATTCATTACACGTTATAATACATCAAAACACACAGCCAAAAGTTACACGTTATAATACATGAAAACACACAGCCAAAAGCCAATTGGAATTACAATGCTTAATGTATTCAGGCTATCAAGAGTCCTAAAACACATTTTCAGTTCGACTGCCACCCTTCACACGTCCTTTTGTAAGGACCAATTTAACATGTGAAGTCACAGAAGCAACTTGAATTTAGATTACCAGAGCGTCCTAAAACATAGTCTCAGTTCGACTGCACCCTTCACACAACCTTAAAAGGCACCTTCATTATGTGAAGTCACAGAAGCAACTGGATCCCTATCAAAGGAAATTTTTTTTAGACAACTCAATCACTAGGAAAGACTTAGTCTCAGCTTAATTGTACCTTTCACACAACCATTTATATGGAACGTTTTAAATGTGAAATCACAAAGATAACCGGCATCCCCGGGAATTTAGTACCTCTGGTCAATTTCGGTGATTCTCCCCCACCTAATGTCTAGAACTCTGCCACAGTTTTAACTTCAACCTCCTCGCAACCTATAGGGTAGGACCTCCCCTAATAGGATTTATGCAAAAAGTCTCAGTTCAAACTGGGTCCCTTTAGGAATCTAGTTGTGGGTCAAATCTTATCCACATACTGTGTTAAATCGCAATTTAACCCATAGGATACAATCATCAGTATTCAGCCACTGGTAAGATTCTCATAATATACAACCATCAGTATTCAGTCACTGGTAAGACTCTCATAATATACAACCATCAGTATTCAGCCACTGGTAAGACTCTATACAACCATCAGTATTCAGCCACTGGTAAGACTCTATACAACCATCAGTATTCAGCCACTGGTAAGACTCTATACAACCATCAGTATTCAGCCACTGGTAAGACTCTATACAACCATCAGTATTCAGCCACTGGTAAGACTCTATACAACCATCAGTATTCAGCCACTGGTAAGACTCTATACAACCATCAGTATTCAGCCACTGGTAAGACTCTATACAACCATCAGTATTCAGCCACTGGTAAGACTTTTATAATATAATCACAGTTCTCAGTGTTCACAGTACCAGATATCTCATTTATGCCTTAATTCATTTAGGATGGAAATTATTTAACAAGTATTCATACTCACGCTCAGTACTTCTGATAAAAATTTGGTATTGGTCTATAATACAATATGCAAGATTTCGTTTTAACAGGCTCTGCATACCTTTTTAGAAGAGCGCGCTCTGATCAGGTTCCTGAGGCAAGACGAATAGTTGATGTCTCCTGGATTAGGTCACTCTTCCGTCTGTTTTTAGATCGATGATTTGCCTTTTCCTCTCGCACCAACTCTTTAGATCGAATTAGAAACCATCCTCTGCTACCAATTTGTTGGTGAAACCATAAGGAGAGGAAGTACAAAACCAACGACGCTAGACAGAGAGGAATTTGCTTAAGCAAAAGGCAGTTTATTAAAACAGAGATAGCTGGTATTGTGCAAGCTACATGCATGGACCCATTCAATTGCCTCTTATGGAGACAGTTGAGAAAGGATCAAAAACAGAGTTTTCAGCATTACTTTATACAATGCAACATAAAGAAAGGGGTCCTTCTTCTAGTCCCTTGATTGGTTCCCGAGGCGTAGGAGGCGGGTCTGCTCTGTCCAGAGCAGAAGCCCCATTGGTGCACGGCAGAGTCCTCTGCCCTTGGCACCCGACCAGTAGAAAGAAGTGCAGTTTGTGTGTGTGCGTCCACAGAGCAAAGAACTCGTGAGGCATGAGAATGAGTGTGCGTCCACATTGAGATGTGTGTGTGAATGTGTGTATGTCTCAAGGGAAAACTCGTGGGGAGCAACCAGTGATTGTGGCCTGTGGCGTGGGTGTTGTCCTTGACAAGATATGGTCCTCTGTCCATTGTTCTTGCATAGGAACAGCATTGATTGAAAACAAGCTCCTAACATAAAATGGGTCATGCACAAGATTTTAGTCAGACCAAGCTATAACATTTTATATTTACTACGACAAAACTTATGACCCACTGGAATTGTGATACAGTGAATTATAAGTGAAAGAATTTGTCTGTAAACAATTATTGAAAAAATTACTTGTGTCATGCACAAAGTAGATGTCCTAACCGACTTGCAAAAACTATAGTTTGTTAACAAGAAATGTGTGGAGTGGTTGAAAAACTAGTTTTAATGACTCCAACCTAAGTGTATGTAAACTTCCGACTTCAACTGTACCTTTTTTTTAAAGGTATCTGACCAACAGAAGCATATCTGTATTCCCAGTCATGTGAAATCCATAGATTAGGGCCTAATTTATTTATTTCAATTTACTGATTTCCTTATATGAACTGTAACTCAGTACAATCGTTGAAACTGTTGCATGTTGCATTCATATTTTTGTTCAGTATACATTGTCCTGACAAAGCACTGACTTCACAATGACATTGAGGTTTTACTTAGTGCACTGCCAACTGTACTGTACTCTGTGAGCACAGTAGGGGTAACATGATAAAGGCATGACGCATAGTACCCGAAGTGATGAAAAAAGCTTTGAGACAGCAACTTGACTCCCTTCAATAATCATCAATAATCATTAATGTGTTTTGGAACAAGGTGATAGAACTTGTGTAACAAAGAAGGGAGGGCCCAAAGGTAATAACTAATCACTCGGTAATCGTCTGTGGTGACTTCATTTGTAATTTAACTAATGCTATGTCATGTATGAAATACACTCACCTGCATATGTATTTGGACAGTGAAGCTAAAAAAAATTATTTGGCTCTATATTCTAGCATTTTAGATTTAAAATAGAATGTTTCATATTAGGTGACAGCGTATGTATTTTCATACATATCTGTTTCACTGTTTAGAAATTAAAGCACTTTGTTTATCTAGTCCCCCTATTTGAAGAAGTCATGTTTTTGGTCAAATTCACTGTATTAAAGTAGTCAAA